AGGTACACCCCTAAGATATCACCCCTGTACCATCGCAAGGTACACCCTAAGATTTCATGTTTACTTTTAGGAATCAAGACACAATAATTGCTTGTACATGTACCTTTGCTAGCATCATGCGCAGCTTGTCAATGTCATCCATTTTCTGGAAATCCTCTAAGCCAAGATAAACATCAATGCAGCACTAGAGAAACATTTAATCATTAGATTTCATGCTTGAATCCTGCTTGCTTTGCTCTCACTGAATAGCTCTCCATATATACTAGATAAAACTACAAGTTAATGTCATATATTACAACTATACCTCATAAATTAGTATCTCCAGAGTGACGAGGTCATCATATAAGCCATCAATACCCTGACAGTTACAACATTTATTTATCAAAATAAAATACTTAATAATACAGTGGCACAGTAATGGCCTCAGGGGGAGGAAGAGGGGATTGGTGTACACTAAAAAATCTTTAATAATAATTTCTCCCTAAAGATTAAGAGCAATAAGCAATTCAAGGCAGTCTGATGAGTGACATTACAATAAACTGTTTACTTAAAAATGGATGACAAGTTTCCAGCAAAGGATATGACTTTATAAAGGTAATAATTATATACCTTGATTCCTCTTTCTTTGGCAAGTTTTATCAGCTCAAGTGAATTCAGCACCTAAAACACACACACAAATATTGAAGGAAAGAATGACATTTGATTTAAAATAAATGATTTCAATGCTACCTGTTGCGAGAGACTTTCAATTTCCTTGGMTCTGTTTTCATACCAAGTTGTAAGCAAAGAGGATGAAAGTGGGACACTGAAAAAATGTAAATAACACAAAATAAATACACAAACAAAAAATATTGTTCTGTGGCAAGAGCTTGCAGTTTCTAGTCTCCCAATCATCCTCCACTGGCATAACTGATTTGGCATTAATAATAAACCTTACTTTGAATACTGTTCAAGAGAAGGGTTTTCCTCATAAAGAAAGTCACCACAGTTCTGATCATCTCCCCAGTTAAGTGCCTGTTTGCATTCCTGGCTTTCGCACCAATCGCTTGCTCTCCATGAATGCTGCTCCCACTCAAACACTTCAGGGTCATCTGTACTAGTCCTAGAAAAACAAGCAACAAACAATGGAAACTTGATTGACAGGAGTATTGACAAAGAAAATTGGTGAGAAAGAGTTGTTTTTTGTTAATTTTTAAGGAGAAAAAAGAGACAAAACGAAACTCAAGTAAAATGTTATTAATTCAGATGTTAACTAACCCAGCTTCAGGAAGCAAGTACTTGTAATCAGAGGGTTTCTTGGTCTCAGGGAAGTCACTTAAGATTGCTAATCTGTGAGGTAGGGTTTGCTGTCCATGGTAGGTGAAGATAGCATCTAGTGCTTCCCAGTCACTATCCTGCTTACAAAAAAAAATGGAAAAAAAAACAAGAATTCAGATATTTTTAAATGGACAAGTAAACAATGAAAAGGTAACATATGTCATGATTTTATATAGTCTTTGTTGGAGTGGTTTGCATTAAATCATGAAATACCCTTAATTACAGCTATATAAATTATTAGGAAATACCAGAGTGGATCTTTCACATGTGAAGATAACACATTACCATTAAATAAAAGTATATTTAAACTTTTGATGCTGTTTTGTGTTTATAATAATTTATATAACAAACAAAATTTTAAATGGGCGCTGGATATACGAATTTTATCTTCTAGTGTTCAATAGTCAACTTTAGATATTTTGGTTCGATGACTATGTACAAAACAACGCACACGAGGCTCCGGGGAAACAATGGATAATCTTGATTTATTCTTTTATTTCCCCGGAGCCTCGTCAGCAATTCTTTTGTGCATGGTCACTGAACCAAAATATCTWAAGTCGACTATTGATATCTCATTTACTACGCTCACTCATTCGATATCAATTGAACACTCGAAGATAAAATTTGTATCTCCGAGTGCCTATGTAACATCCTCTATTTACTTTTTAAAGTACATTTTTTCTTTCTCATTCCAGTGCTTCACACAATATTACACTTTGAAAACCATTTTTAATAGTTAATGGTTATTATAARATGCATTAATACATACCCTAGCATACTCCACAGCAGCTTTGACAATATTAACATCTCTGAATTGCTGGAAGAAGTCTTTAGAGTACTCTTCATAAGCAATGTGTGGTCCKCCTAGTATTACTTCATAGGTTGATAGCCTGTCCAGATACTGCARTAGCTTGAGGCGATATCTACAGATATCCCTCTGTTCTAAGCTAAACCTAACAAAGAAAATAATTTTATCAATAAAATTAATCAACACAATCAACACCATCAGTGGTACATTATACACGTAACATGGTTTATAAACAATAACAATTACAATTTTGATTGATGGCAGTCAATCATGTCAATCACTTTTGCCTGGGCTGCCTGAGTATTGTCCAATATTGAAACAATAGTACTGTAAGTCATCCATGCTATCTCTTTACGGGTTCCCTTAACCATCTTAATTAAAAGCATCAAAGACTGCGACTGTTGAGCATGCAATGATAGAAATGTGTGTTTGTCTGTAGGTGTAAAATAGGGTTTCTATAACTGTATGCTCAACTTTCGCGTTGGTTCATTTCAACTGCATTTCAAGATACCACAGGAAGCTATGAAGGTGACTGTTACCTGGAAAAGTCAAGCGAGTCCTCAATGCTTTTAATGTCAACATCCACGTCTTCACCACCATCCTCTTCATGTTGAATGAGGAACCCGACATCTTTGTCTTCTTCTTTACCCAATGCAGCAAGAATTCTTGCATCAGTACCACGAAGACCATATTCAAGAAGTTGTTTRGCAGCCTCAAATGTGCCAGGAACTCTTTCAACACACTCGTTCAAAACCCATAGTCTGTTTTTGACTTTACTCTGAAACACAATATAGGTARTGGAATCTCTATTTGCTGTGAGAAGGAGCCAGTTAACAAATGAWATTGAATTGAGAGAAAAATTTGGTACTTCCAGTATTCACTGAGAAGTAAAAGTTGTAAAATATGGGTTTGACATTTTTATGAACATGGAAATTAGACAAGATATAATATCCAATTTATTGTTTTACCAAGTAATCGTGAATAGATGCAATGGACACTTTAGCCTTTTTCCATCTCTTCTGATACACTAAATCACAGTCCAGTCCATACGTCTGTGCCAGTACTAAAGCATCACCATACTCCTCCAATTCAATCTTTAAAAACAAAACTTCAAAATTAGAAATCATTACACCATAACTATAGAGTTTGACTTCAAAGCAAGGTTTAAAATAAGGTAACTATCTGACATAATTTATTTAAATACCTTTCTTGCATACAATTCCTCTGGTGTTGTGGACTTGATGCAGACTAATCTATAGGTCTTGTATAATATCCTAACAAAAATTCATCTATGCATTATATTTCATATTTCACCTGTTTCACCAATATATTGATAATTCATTTTGGAAGATTGATTAAAGAGGAAAAAACCTTGATATAAAGATGAGATGAAGACAGATTAAACTGTCTTTTCTTTACTTACTTTGGTSTTTTCACAGCAGGTTGAAATCGCTCGCTTTCAGTGAGAAAGAACAGTACCTTAAAAAAAGAAAAAAAGAGAATGTCATTATCGCAGTCATGTTGATTGTACTTCTGTCAACAAATTATCTGATATTAAAGTAAATAGAMATGCCTACCTGTTTAGCAAACTGTTTACTTTTRTGACTAAATGCTGCATCGTCTTCATCTTCCTCATCTTCACTCTCATTTCCATTAGTTTCTTCATTGTCATCATCAATGACCAATGACTGCTTGGAACGGCAAGTTTGGATGGAYTTCTCACACTGATAACAATAGACAAAATGAAATGATCTTATTKCTGAAGACTCATTCCTAGATATACACTATTGATTGATGTTTCATTATTACCAGTAGTTGCATGTGTCTATACCTCAAGGATAAGGAATCCACCATTGTGAGCCAGTGTAATRAGTGGCCAATGCTCACACCATTCYGGTGATTGTCCAAGTAGATTATRYAACCTACAAGTGAAAGYATTAACATTGGAAGTGACTCCACAGAACAATAAATGGGCTTCCTGTGCTCACTGGATAATGGAGAGGTTGGAACCCGATCTCCTCACTACCTACTGATACACAGGAACTCCATGAACTAAAGTTGTATTATTAAATTAACATAGTGCAAAAGTGACTATAAAATTACAATTCAGTCTATTGTTGAGGAAATACCTTTCTTTAAGTGGTGAAACCATCACTGCRCCCTTGTTGTGTGCAAGTATTAAGATCTGCAAGAATATAACATATGCACAAGAATTTAATATATTGTATCTGAAGTTTGTTATAAATTGTATAACTTACCTCTGATGACCACCAGTTAAGGTCTGTCAAACCACAGAATTCATTTTCTAGAGTTCGAAAACACAGAGGAAAAATTGATTTATAGTCTGAATGAGCAAATAAATACGTGAATGGTTGGATGGATTAATCTGAGAATGAATGGATGGGAAATGAAGGGATGAAAGGAAAAAGGAAAGACAAATTCAAGCACATGAATTGAATGAATGGATTGATGAGGAAGTTCATAATTAGGACAGAATGAATTGATAAAATTCAATAAAATAATGAGAAAGTGAAAAAAACAATTGAATAAAAAATTAAAAGTAAAAATATAGAGTGACAAAAATAATATTACTTGTTACCTTTTTCAGGAATTGGTGCAACAGCTTTTTTGAAAGCAGTATCAGCCTCACTATTCTCAAACTTTGGCTAAAAACAAAAAAGAATAAACAAATAGTTAAACAAATCTGACCTTATAAGTAGAATCTTATTAATTTGCATAATATCATGTACCTGGTCATCAGAGCCCCATGCAAAACTGTGCCTCAATGATGGCATATGCCACACTGATAATGTCCCTGACAGATGAAGAACAGCAAGTTTGGTTTGATCAGGAGAAAAGCACCCATGAAACACTCCATCCTGTTATAATATATAATTTTCATATTAATGCATATCATACACAAGTTGAGCAAAGAAAACTGTGTTATTTAAATACCTTTCCTTGGGCAGAGCGAAACAAGGCAAGCTTTGAAATTCTCTTAAACATATCAGAACCAGCCTAAAAATATCATTGCAAAAAATATTAAATAATTCACCAACTTTTAGTCGAACAATGCTTATGTTTTATTCATCAGTGTTTTTTGTAGWATATTGAATTAACACAGATATGTTTGCATTCAATATACTATATTTTGACCTTCAGGATCCCCCTGTGAACGTTTGGCCAATCAAGGGATAGCCAAGATCTTCYCTTAGTTTTGAAACAAACCTAAATTACCTGAATATCGATGAGGTCATCTTCTATTAGCTTGTAGTGAGGATAGCCACTCAAGATTCTCCATGCTGACAGTCCACAATCCAATGCTGATGGCATCTCCTCTGAACATTAATATGACAAATAAGTAATTCACATTTTAGATCTCTTGAACATAGACCAAAGTTTACAATTTAGAGATTAATATTATGAT